TCAAACATCCTGTCATCATTGAGATAATCTGGACCCAAGAGTCGAATAAAACGTTTTAATAAAAGGAGTGCATTTTTAATTCCGTCGATCATAGTTTCGGATTTGTTGGCTTTCTCTAATGCGCCTTGATGCAATGTCTATATAATAATGATAATATTAATATAATTAAAATATAAATTTATGTTAAAAAAAAAAAATAGAAACATGCAAGCTTACTTGTAAACATATTTTTGCATGCTCAATTATAAAGTTTGATCGTTTAATATCTTCGATATTACTGTTATTTACCAATGGTAAGCCTTCATCGTCATCATCGGCTTGAATTGAGTTGATCCAATTCTCTTCCCGTTGTAAGGTATAAAGGAAATATTCAAATGCACGTGCGTAGTCATCATAATGCATACACTCTAAACCTTCGGTAAACCCTTTGGTGATCTCCTCGTAGCCTTCAAAAGCGGTCACTAATCTCTTGAACCTTGAATCATTACGGTATTTACGATCTAGTGGAAGTGGTTCATCCCAAGTTTCCTAGATATTTTCGTGAAAGTTTCGGTTAATTACTAAGTCGCTGATACTATAAAGTAGGAAAAAAAAATATATAAAAATTACCTTCCTGCTATTTTCAAGGTACTCTTTCATGAGTATTCGTAAAAGATTCGATTGTTTCAATCTCGCACAAAATATTTCAAATCTATTAAAAAGAATTTATTAAATTCAAAAAAAATTGGTTCAAAAGAAGCAAAATATAAGACATGTACCTTTGACCTATCTTGTGATCATCATTTCTGAGAGTTTTCGCTAGCATTTCAATTCGTTGAATATCGCATGATGTATTCTCGGCATTTATCGTAGAATCAGAATTCCAACAATTGCTATCATCGATCCGTCCGCCAGTGTCTGTGGGTGAATATGCGGGTGGATCCGGCCGCCCTTTGTAATTTATAAACTCTTGCTTGAAAGCAGCGTTATCAGCTTCTACAAATTCCTAAATATATACACACACATCATGAAAAATGTTATTACTAATAAATTTGAAATAAAAGTAGAAAACCGCAAAAACCTTTAAAGGTGTCGGAATTAAAGCCTCATAAAAAGAGTCAGGGAGATTATAATGACAATCCGGATGAACAAAGATTAGAGTATGAATCCCGTTTGCATCATATTTAAAGATTTGTTCTTCGGTCACCTATTCAATAAAATCGTATCAGCGATTAAATATCGAAGATTTTAAGCAAATCTCAGAAATATTATATATATATGAATACCTTTTTCACTTCAGTATTTTGAAATTTCCACCAATCTCCATTCTCATCATTATCCTTTGGGATCAAGATATAAGCCCAATCACCTTGTCCTTGTACATTACGAGATTCATCATGAACTATCACTGCACAAAGGCGGTAAGGAATCTTCTTTAAACTTGGTCTGTCGTATATAGTCAGCAAGTGCTGTTGTAATTCATCAAGTTGTAAATAAAGTCCTTTATTAAAAATCTCTGAATTAGTTAAAAAAAACAATTATATTAAAAAAAATATATATATTAACGTTCGCATTACCATTTAACTTTTCCTCTGTGCGAGCTTTGAACTTCTCCAAAAAGTTGATCACGCCTGCAATACGCTCAATTGACTCTGTGTCAGTCGGTTCGGTAGCATCACGTTTGCGTTCATAATAATTAATAGATCCTTGGAGAAGTTCCAAGCCATTATATTCTCCCTTTTTACATATTAATAATAAAACAAATTAACGATTCGCAAAGTTGGACCACTAAAAAAGCTAATACACGAGAAACAAATAATACCTCGAAATGGGTAATATTGTTAATTTCCTGTTTGATTCGTTGAATATCGTGTTCAAACTTTTCAATTATTCCCCAGCAGTCGCATACTTCATCCTTATTTTGAAATAAATACCTATCCATATATAATATTTTATCCCAAGAAAAAGATGGATTGCTGTAATAATATCTGTCATTTGCATCCTTGCGTGTCAGACTAAAGATTACAATTTTGCCGAGTTCAGTGAAAAAAAATTTTTTTTTCATTAAAAAGTCAAGCGCATTATAAAGATTCGAGTGATCTTGTGTTATTTGTAAAGTGTTTCGGCAATTACAAAAAACAAACAACTTAAGGATATATACACGTGTGTATAGATAAAGTAGAAATAATTAATACGTTTCGATAATGTAAGGATATTATATGAGGGTTATTCTTTTGTGTTTTTTTATCAGATTCTTCTCTAACATAAGAAAGAAATAACCTGGATGATAATTAAAGCATTTATATTATTAAATAGGCAATTATACAATATTTAAACCAAAAAAAAGATTAAAAAAGAAATCTCTTCATATTACGTGTCAAATGAATTTACCAATTCCTTGGTATACTCGTCAGTTAGCGCATCTTTATCTCGAAATCGAGCAGCTTCGCATAATCGAGTCAACAAGCAATCATAGAAGTCTACGAAATTCAAATAAAAGTAATCAGAAAATAAATTTTAATGTCGCCATAGCAACCAACGAAACAAAAGAAACTAACCCGTGAGATCTTCGAAAAAATCGGGCCATGAATTATCCTTCCCTTTGAATTCCATCGCTTTCATGATATAAACAGAATCACCGTAACTTCTTTCGCTTTGCATTAAAAAGGCAAATAGCTTTTGCATCTCATGGACAACTATTTATGTAATCAAATACCACAATTTATATTTCGTATCGTGCATGAGACGAAGAAAAAAAATGAATTTACACATCACCATTGAGACTAACATATCTATTGGAATATTTTCGATACTCGGGAGAAGTATTGTAAGTTGAAATTAAATCCTGATTATCAGATAAACTCGGGGATTTCCCCTGCCAATATCCTTCTACATTTCCCCAATTTTCACGCGTGGGACGAAATCCCAGCATCGAAATTCGGAATACAGGTATATGAAACAAGGCTTGAAAGATGCACGAAGCAAAAGAATGCCGTGGTAATGGTCTTAGTCCCACGGGTCTGTTAAGAGTGAGAATATAAATATAATATTCATAATAGTTGATATAATCACGTCAATTAAAACTTTATACGATGACAAGAAAGAATAATAATAGATACGTGGGCTCAAGAATATCTCTTGTTCGAAGTGCCGGATTTTCCGGATCTGTCTCTGTCAAGGAACTCCACGAATCATCATATTGTGTTTCTAGATCTCCCTGAATGGTAGGTAAAATTATCAAATAAATAAGTATAGAAGAAAAAAATCCGTAATAAGCTTTCTCCGAAGGTATTTATCCTAACTACGTTAATTTGAATATATCTGCGCAAGAACCTTGGTGCTATTATACGGAACTAATGCCATTGAATTGTCGTTTGTTGATTGATCAGCTAAACTTTCCTCGACCCCTCTTCTGAGAGCTGCTTCGTCCTGTTCATGTATTGACGCTTTCACTGCCATATCCACGTCTAGAGAAAACAATGAAGTAAAATTTCAATTTTTCGAAAATAAAATAATATATAATAAATTACCATCTCCTGTTAAATATATGGCCGAATTATTTGTGGCTGTTGCATCTTATACATTGAACGTTATGAAAAATTACGGAATAAATCGAATATTCAAATTTATTAAAAATAGAATGTACGCGTTTAGACAGGAAAATATAGATTTACTATCTGATTTTGGAGTAGAAGAATTATTCCAATTTTGAACGTCAGTATTCATAGGTTCAGCACCATCGTTTGTATTAACCAAATGAGGCTAATATGAAAAATAGAAGAAAGTAACAAAAAATAATAAGTTATAATGTTTAAATTATTCGAAAGAAATATCAATACAAAATAACTACCGCTTCATCATAGGTGGCTTGTCCAGAAAAAATATGTTCAACTGCTCTTTCTACATCATTGTCGAATTTCTTTAAAAGAAAATGGATATCAACGTGTTTCAATTGAATCATTTGGATAATTTCATTCAATTCTCGAATTGGACTCAAATCAATAAAGTTAATCTCGAGTCTAACATTCTTGAACTTACTCGAAGAGCGTTAACAGCCTCTTCTTCAGGAAAACCCTAAATCAAACAAAAGAAGTAGGTGAGTTGCTTATTTATCTAATTAATGCAATCAAAATGAATGTAAAATTATACCATTTCTAGAAGTGAGTTAAGGGCTTCTTGACCAACTTGCAAGCCAATTGTGAGAAGCGATTGTGAACTCATGACTATATATACTTCACAAAGTTATAATATTTGATAGCGATTATTATCGTTACGTTATTGACTTCAGACTTTTAAAAATATTGATGAAACTCAAAAATTACAATATATAAATATGATTGGCCGAGAAGTTCAATGAACATGGACAGCGATTGTTTTGTGATCGATATTGGAAACACATGATCACAAAAGATCACCACAAATGTGTTGAAGGTTATTTTAAATTTCCCAAGTTTTAAATATTAAAGGCCGATTTTAAGCTAGAAAAGCCTACGCGTAAAAGCATACGTTTCCCGTCTCTTTGAGATTTATTGGGAAACTAGAAGATTTAGATGAGATGTGCGAAAAAGTGTCAGTTCATGTGATCCAACCAATAAAATTGCACAGTTGGTAATAAAATATCAAAGATAACTAATTCAAAAATTTTGATAAATCGCTGCGTGATTTTTGAACATTCCAGAATAAAACACACATTAATAAATTTTGAAAATTAGTACTGTTTAACTTGTATCTCTGCGTTTTATATTAAATATAAGAAAAAATAGAGTTTACAAATACAGTTTTGTATATTATCTCACATTCTTAAAGAACATATTTTATTTTTTTTTATTTAAAGTAAGAAATAAAATACAAAATAACTTTACTCAAATACAGATGTACATAGAACCTTTGAAAAATGACCAGCAATCTATGCAAAGATCAAAGTTTGTTATGTCTGATCTTGAATAACAAATTGCAGATCCCTGCCAATATTATTCAGGATATGAAATTATCAGTGACATCGGTTCAGGACTCCACTGGAAGCATAGAGAATTTGTTTCTCTTTTGCGTCACAAACGAGGAAAGCTGATGCTAGGAATTGTCTTTGCGGAAACGTCCGCTATAATACTGTTTTTCTCACATGTAAACTTGAATTTAAACATACAGTTCTCTTCATCCGACTAAATTGAGTTTCCTTTAATCTTTTTTAGAATGCATTTCTTTAATA